GGGCATTGGATCCCCTGGAACTGGAGTTACAGGTGGTTGTTAGCTGCCATGGAGGTGCTGGGAACTGAACCTGGGTCCTCTGGAAGAACAGTCAGTGCTCTTACCTGCTGAGCCATCTTTCTAGCCCCACTTCACCCAATTTACATGGGTTCTAGGGATTTGAGCCCAGGTCCTCATACTTGCATGGCAAAGGCTATATCCACTGAGCCAGTTCCCAGCCCCCATTCAATCTGTTGCCATCAGAAGTCAATACACAGTAACAGAGACAGGAAACAAGACAGTCACTGTGGACATACCTTGGTCCGTCAGGGAAGGTTTAGGGGAATCCTCAGCTCTTCCTGAACTTCATAAAGGTCTCCTACAGGAGTCAGATTGCAGAGCTGTGCTGACGGCCTCCAAGGAGTTGGTAGTGGAAGAGACTCGGCAGGAAAATGTCCACCTCAAGTTCTCAGTGTCCACCTTTTTTCCTTCCACAGATCCTCCCACTGTGACAATCACCAGCCACGGGCCCCCAGGAAGAAACAGGACACTCAAATGTCTGGCCTACGACTTCTATCCACAAAGAATTAGACTACACTGGAACCGAGCTGGCAAGATGTTAGAGTCTGAATCGGGGAGAGATAGTCTTCCTGATGGAAATGGCACTTACCAGTCTTGGGTGGTGGTGAAAGTCCCCCCTCAGGACAGAGCCCCCTACTTCTGTCACATAGAGCACAGTGGGCTGTCGCAGCCTCTCAGAGTGCAGTGGGTCGAGATGAAAAAGGCAAAAGTCGAAGATAACACGGGGATTCAGCCCCAGTAAGTTCCCTTTCTACTGATGTGAGAACGCTGAACTTCAGAAGTCAGTATTACCAACAAGGCCTCCTGTAGCACACACAATGGGAATCCAGGTGGTAGCTATGGAGACAGAAGACTTGAATGCCAAGCACTGAGTTCACTCTCAATATCAAATCATCTTGCCTTGCCAAACTCCTCACTGATTAATCTGTAAACTCTCACAATAATCCTTGTGCCCAGAACAGCAGAGAAAAGTGTTTCTAAACTATGAGATGTTGTAAAACCATGAGCTGATTTTATTCTTTATCCTGCCACTAGTATTTGATTTATCTGAACTTCATAGTCACTCAAAGCTGCTATCCTGGTTTCATTTCTGTTGCTGTGATAAAACACCCTGACAAAATCAGCTTTCAAGGAGGAAAGGTGTCTAGACTGTGCTGAGCTGGCAATTAAAACTAACAAAGCATCAGGGCCAGCAAGATGACTCAGTGGGTAAAGGTACTTGCCACCAAGCCTAAAGACCAAGTTTGATACCCAGGACCCATATGGTAGAAGGGGCAAGCTGATTCCTGAAAGTTGTCCTTGGACATCCACATGCACACTGTGGCACGCACACATACATGCTGTAGCACACAAGCACATATGGAAATAAATAAATGTAATAAAAAAGTAAGAATTTTTTTACATTGTTTTTTGTCTTTTTGAGACAGGGTCTCCCTGTAGTCCCAGTTGACCTGAATTCACTATGTAG